AATAAATGGCAAATTGTTTGATATTTTATCTAATGTAAACATTATGAGACTTATAAGTGTGATTTACTGTATGTAACCAAATACTCTTTGGGGCCACTGGAAGTTCAAATGCAGAACAGTAGTTACTTTCTTTAGTGTATAGTGTTGCTATTTTAACATGAAAAGCTTTGAGTTCTTCTCTATATCAGTGTCAGTGTTTCTGAACTCCTGAAACGCCTCCATTGTAGTCTTGAGTTTCTCCCAAGAATGAACACGCCACAATATTCCTCATTTAAATAATTAATATGCAGAATTAAGGGGCGGGGTTGAGTTAGTTAGTTGGTGTTGAAACTGGAGGTTACGGAATGGGGCGGGACATTTCCCAAACAAACTCAAAGTGCTCGACAACACACTGATCCATCTGACCAATCAGAGCACAGTGTGCTTTCAGAAGGTGGAGCTTCAAACGGGTGTGTTTTTTATTTCCGTCTTATCATCATAGTTCAACGAGTCTGTGTTTCCCGAATACATAGTTCCAAACATTCGCGAAACAGCACTGCAAAGTTGTGTGTTTGGAACGACAGCTCTCGATCTGTAGTTAGAAGCAGTTTCTAGTTTGCATGATGTGGACTCAATAAATCCTTATCTTGAGCCAAATAAGCAAACTGACATTCAGCGCAGTCTATAGAGATTTAAAGCGGCGTTTTTGAAGCGTGCGCATGTGCGAACGTAATCTACTATGTGAGAATGAGCCAATGATTAAGCAAAATATCTGAGAAAAATGGGAATCAATCCTCAGATGACATGTTCATAATTTACAGCAAAAAAATTAATTCTTAATAGCATTAATCTGATCTCAAAATATTCAACAAAAGAAGTTATTACTCCAATCAACCATGGTTGAACGACAAATTTGCGACAATAGTGCATTGGAGGCTGCTACAATAATGTAAATTATGAGAAAAATAAGGTGTTTTTTGAACATTCAAGTATGTAAACCCAAAATCAAAACCAAGACTTCAAAAAAGGGCATACCCACCTATTGTTAGCCTGATTAGTGGCATTTGCTAAGGTAACATCCGTAAGCAATAAACATAGACATATCCTATATGTTAGAGACATGAATTATTTCTCAAATCATGCGGCTTGTTGAGAAGAGGTGTGTTATAACTTTGTTCTGCATAGGTTTGTTTGGAAGTCGTAAAGGTTATCCAATTACCTGATCTTTTAGATCAGCATGAAAATTGGAAAAA